AGGCACATGGGCTTAGGAGGTGGAGGGAAGGGGAGGGCTGTGCGCTTTGTGAAAGGGGGAAAGAATGTCATTGCTCTTACCCTTCTTACTGTTTAAATTCAACAGTTCAACAGATGCATTACCTCTCAGCTCATCAAGTGGTTTAGCAATTTCCGTGAGTTTTACTACATTCAGATGGAGAAGTACGCGCGGCAAGCCATCAACGACGGGGTCACGAGCACAGAGGAGCTGTCTATAACCAGAGACTGTGAGCTGTACAGGGCCCTGAACATGCACTACAATAAAGCGAATGACTTTGAGGTAGGCACTCGTCTTCGTTTCTGCACATGTGGGTCGTGCTGTGGGGCAGGTAGCACTTCATGGTGACACCTTCCAGTGATGGGAAGGGCTGTCTGCATTTCCCAGGGCTAATTTGTCACATTAGCTGTGATTGTTGGAGTCTTAGGCCTCCTAAGGCTTGGCAAAGGATGAAAGTTTTCACTTTCTGGCTAAGTTTCTTAGTATTTTTGAAGTTTTGGGATTATAGAGAGAGGAGTCACCCTGTGGCTCTTTCAGGGCTCCTTCACTGAACTATCAAACACTCCACAGCATTGCAGGCTGGCAGGGGACTCTGGAGGCCACCTGGTCCAACCCCTGCTCGTGTGGGGACACCCAGAGTGGGCTGCCCAGAATAAAACGATCGCTTGAGCTAAATGCACTCAGTTTCCCCTTGTAATGGTTTGGTGGCTTTAATGAAGACCATGGTGGATGGCAGCAGTGTACATGGTGCAGGCCCTCAGGTGACCGTGGGCGTGAACATGTGAGGGGCAGCTCATGGTCAGGGATAGTGGGAAAGTGGTGGTGGAACATGTTTTATTACTGTTGGGTTTTGTGTGTACCTGTCACTCATTGGTAAGTTGAGTAATGAGCCCTGTCCTGTAGCAGAAGTGGCATTTGTTGACATACAATTGGTAGATTCCTGCCTAAAATCCTTCAGGCTTTTTTAAATCAGGGTCCATTTCTACAGCACCTAAGTTCAGGTAATGCAAAAAAGGCTCTAAGAAAGGACCTCAGCTCAGCTTCTTGTAGGAGAGAAGTTGCATGGACAGGACAGAACAAGAAAGGGGTGCAGAGGATGCCTGTGTATCTGCCATTTGCCACAGCCAGTAATACCAGATTTGTGCCCCAGCACCTGAAAGGATCAGGCTGGGCTCTGTGTATGCCAGGATGTAACAGGAAGATGCAGGAAAAGTAAGGGAAATGTGCAAAGGGATTAGAGTTGCTAGCTTTTCTTCTGTCAAAATGTTTTTAAACTCCCTCAGGCTTTTCCTCTTTTTTGTTGCAACTGTAATCCCATTTCCAGAACATAGATTGAAATGCTCTTTGCTCTCTAAAATTCTTGGTCCTTTACAATTTCAGATACTTGTTTCAAAACATTTGCTGCAATGTTAATGTCAACGGATAGCTTCAGTGAAGAAGCATGGGGATTCTATAGGTGTTTTTCAGGGAGATAAGAAAATGCAAGTCTAATTTGTTTAGTGCTGCCAGTGGTGGCTGCCTCCATGGTAAATGGGTCTAGCTGTTGGTGGAAAAGGAGCTCCTTGCTTCTTTCCCCAGTACTGGAGGAAATGGCCTTCAGACATCGTACAAAAGACGGTGATTTGCAGATCCTTTAACAAAACCTTTTCTGTGTTATCTCAGATGAGAATTTCTCAGAGGTTCAATTCTTGGTTTTGCCGTGAAAATCCAGCAGTTACGAGATCATTAAACTGTATGGTGCAGTTTTTAGTATAGCCTATGTAACTTTTGCCAACAAATGCCTAACCCCTCCCCCACAAGCTGCAAACCAAAAATGACAAGTACTCTAATGTTGAAATTGGATCCAAAGGGATTTAGCAAACTGAGCATTTGCCATATTTAGTGTCATCAAAGTTTCTTCCTCCCATACTTCGGTGATGCATTGCTGATCTTCTGATTAGTCTGATAGACTGTTTTTCTTAAATCACTTACCCTACCCTTCCTAAACCCTCCTCCTTGTCTCTTCTTGGGTGAAATTCATGCATATACTTAAATACACCTAAATTGACAACTAGGAAAAAAAAAAAAAAAGCTAAAATGTGCATTTAGTCCATATCTAGTTGTGCCATTGATTTACTTAAGAATCTGTGACACTATATTTCGTTCCCCGTGCACTGAAACTGACAGCTCTAAGCAAAGTCAAATAAGATGTTTAACAAACCACATGCCCTATCGTTTTTAGCCTTGCCATTGTACCCTCATGGCTGCGAGCCAGAGCCAGATACACCACCTCCTCCAGCCACATAGCTCTGCCTGTGTTTGTTTGCGCACATATGTGTACATGTGTATAGCTGCTTCCACATTCCTCTTTCTTGCTCTGTGGTTTGATGGAATAAACAGTGCTGAATACAGCTGCACACAGTAATTTTAAACTAAGTTTTGAAAGCTGGAAAAACAAATTTTTCTTTATTTTTTTCTGTGAAAAATGAAGATGCTTCTCTGTTCTGGGGCAGTTCTGCCAGGGAGGGAGAAGGTGGCTGATGGTGAATGAAAGCCACAAATGTCAGTGTCCCAGCACAAGTGCCGAAGTTGGTCAGAAAGAGAGGACAGCTTGCTGTGCCACTTGATATCTGGCTTGTCTGTGATGTTGCCATAGGCTCTTGAATGCCAGCTGCAATAATTAAAGTCAGGTATTGTTGCTATGCATCACAAGAAAAAAAAATCCTAAATGGTTCTGTAGCTCTCTTATAAAATCTTTCTTAAAAGATATCATCAGAACTCACAGTTATGACTGTGACAAAATGGTTTCGAGCAAAGGAGACACCATGCTGTAAGTTTAAATTAAAATATGGTTAGAAAATTATTTATTTACTTAAAACAAATAAAAGAAATTGGCCTGAAGACAACAGCTGGATTTCAGCCTTACTTTGGCTCCTGTTCCTCCATCACTTTTGCTCCCTGATGTTTTTTGTAGTTACCGTCATTCTCAATATATTAATATTCCTGCAAAATACCCCAGTCCTTTTTCTTGTGCTTGTTGAACAAGTCAGCCCCAGCTCTGAAGTCTCAGGCTCCTATTCCTATGCCTAGCATTTTGCTCTGTGCCTTCCCACCTGCTCTGTGCACTCACCACACTCCTCTGCGTAGCTGCCAGATGTGAGTCCACTGTAGCATGGAGTGTACCCACTTTTGCAGACATGATTTCTAAGATTGATCATGATAGCAAAACATCTGCCAAACTGCACTATTACACCGAGATCTGTCAACTGTTTCTTGGTCTTGGCACATGTCATCATTTAGAAGAGGGGAAACAATTTTTAGGAAGTTTGCTCTACTTTTGCCAGGCAAGAGCCATGCTGGTGGGGAAGAACCTCATTAAGGCCAGTTGTGGTGCTGTCTTAGCAGCACATACCTAATGCACTTTGAGTTAGTCCCATAAACGTCGGTGAGGTTATGTAAAACAATTCAAACACCACCACCTATAAAAGTCCAAGTAATAACCCTGTCACATAAGTGCCCTGCAAACCCTTGAGAGGAACACTGGCTGCCAACATTTTCAGAAGTGATGATGGTTTTAGGCCAGTTCCATTTTGGGATGCTCAACTGGAGATCTGTTAATGAAAGCCACTTTGTCAGGAGGTCCTCGATGGTCCATTTTCTGATGGTGTGCCCAGTTCTGCATCCAAAAATGAAAACATCCTAAATTATTGAAAATTCTGGCCACTTGTGTGACTATTTTAGGAACCCGTGTCACACGCACAGAATCACACAGAATGTTTGAGGTTGGAAGGGACCTCTGGAGATCATCCGGTCCAACCCCCTTCAACTTTCCCAGTTGCATCTGCAGGATTCATCTCAATCTGAACTGGCGCTCATCAGGAGAGTTAAAGCCTTCTAACTTGATTCTGGTCTAAACTGAAGCCTTGTATGCGTGTTTTTTGCTTTATGAAGGCACTGTACAGGAGAATTTATAACCTCCTGCCCTAACGCTCCTTTACACATCTCAAGCAGTGTAAAGTGGTCTCAAGAGAAGTGAAAATCAAGTCAGTAACTGCTAACTTCCATCTTTGAGCTTGCATGCTCTTCCTCTACAGAGTGTAGCAGCAGTCTGAGCACTGGTAATGGGACCAGGAGTGGGCCCAGGCTGATGGGACATTGTTTATTTTAGTATTACACTCCTTGCTTTTTTTTCCTCAGCTGTATACTTCCTCATTCAAGGGCTTTATTGTTGTAGTGTTTCAACATCGTTCTCCACATTCTTAAAGAAAAAGTCAAAATGCTTTTCTCTTGCAGTCTGCAGCAAGGAGAATAAAGCTGAATCTGCAGTTTAAGAATAGCAAACTTAACTGTCCTGATACCTCTAAAGAAAAAAAAAAAAAAAAAAGAGACATCTATCTTTAGGTGTAACTTCTTTCTCACTTAAAAATCTTGCTGTCAGGAAATTTAATTGATGTCCTCAGGTCATTTTCCTTTTGTGTTGTTTTGTTTTGTTTTCTAAATTTCAAGGAGGCTCTCTTGTGAAAGAGTAAAGCTTTCCTTGAAAACTGCACAGGAATTGGAGCCGATTTGTAAACTGTGTAAGAAAAGCCACGGCTTTCAGTAGCAGAATCGTGCCATGCACGTATCAATTAATGCTGCTTAATCAGTTTCTGCAGTTGGTGGAACTGCAGCTTGTAGTTGGAAGCTATTAGGGAGGGAATCACAGGAGGAATACTGTTGCAGGACTATGCTCGTTTTTTATGTTTGTGTCCTCTGGATTCAAGGTGTTTGTATAATGAAGTTGGCACATTGATATATGATCTATTTTTTAATGTCATTACAATTTTAGTTCCCTCTGCCTTTTTGTCATTGGGTTACATTTAAGCACAGCAAGATCAACTTTAAACTTCCTTACTCAACAGCTTTATTAGTTATAACGTACCGTGACCTTTCTCAACATTCTTAAAGAAAAAGATACAGTGTAATGTCACTTTACTTTGCTTATTGTTCTTTGTTGTGGTGAACAAAGCATTTTCTACAGTGGCTATAGCACATAATTATACAGCTTTCAATAGCGGTGTCTTGGCACATATCAAAGTTCAGAAGAGCCTTTAGAAAAAAAAAGATGTTTTGTGGCAGCCTAGGGAGGGTCTCATCTTTCCTTCAGAAAATAGTTCAAGGCTCTTCTGTCAAGCTTCCCTACTTAGAGCTTTTTCTCCTCCTGCTTCATAAAGTTTAAAGGGGATTCAGTGGAGTTCTATGATCTATTTCCTTTGAAAGATTGTTCCTTTGCACAGAGAAGTCCTTTGACTTCAAGAGTTCAC